TATTCACTTGGTTGCTCTCACTAAAAACATTGTGATGAGCTAGAGGTGTGAACTGTATTTAAGGAGAAAAGTCTATGTGTTGAATGGCAACTGAAAACGAGTTTCATCTATAATCTGGTTTTTTTTTCCTGATACTAAAGAAAGTTTTCTTTTGGATTTAAAAAAAAATATTAGAAATACTTTTCAACATGAAAATGTTTTAAACTGCAAGAAAATTAGACCTAGAGTATGCATAATATAAAATTGACACATTCATATTTTCTCATATTTACTTGTGTCTGTATTTCTAAAAATATTTTAGAAAATAGGGCTATTCTAGAATGTCACATGTGTATAAATTGTTTTATATATAACATTTTCAAATATGACATATTTAATTATCTTTTTTCCTTGGACCTCTCATACCTCCCCTTTTAGCTAACATGATGCTTTCAAAATCTGTCAATGTTAATAAATAAAGATCTAATTTACTTAAATTGCTAGGTCATTAATTTATAATTAACTGATATGCAACACTCCACTTTAATATGCCACACCCAGCCATATTTTAGTGGACACTAACGTTATTTCTAACAGAAAATATTGCATAGTTTACCCACCGGTACTCAGGAGGCAGAGGGCCAGAGTCAGTCATGCAGTGAGAAAACCAACTTTGTTTCTATAACTAAGGTCCTATTTTCAACGACTGATCCTTCCTCTTTGTTTCAAACATCCACAGGTTCAGTCACAAGCAATTAGCAATACATCTTGATGACATATATGATCCATTTGAGATAGTGGTTGGTGTAAAAATCTGAGTAGTAGATGTATGAACTGATCTATTTTAATTCATACATTTTTGCATATTCTACACCATATAAAATATGTATATTGTTAAACACTTTCAAAATAAATTAAGCTTGTAATTTATAGCCATGCAATAAAAATAAAAACGAAACTCATTTCTTTATTTATTTTTAACACATTTGCTTCTCCTATTTCATCTTATCTTTGGGTCACTATTCTCTAATATAACAATCTCATCCTCCCCCCTTTCCATTTATTTCTTAGATTGAAAAAGAAATCCCCATTATCTGTCTCAAGTTCTAGTTTCATATTTCTATCTGCCAACATTTAGATAATTTAAATCTCTCCTGAATGCAATATATTTAAACTCAACTAATGTCTGACCACATTTACCTAACTACTCTTAGCTATACAATCCTTATTTGTCCATACATTCTCTTCCTTCCTTCACATTAACTCTTTTTTGTCCAATCTTTCAATATTTCTTCTTACCCCAAAATAATCTCTGCTACTGCTTATCTGATGAGAGATTCACAAAACCAAGTTATTTAGGATGAAAAACCATAAAAATAAATTTTTCTATACTTCACAGTCAATAGAGTTCTGGATTATCTGACTTGAGTAAATGAATGCACTCACAAAACATTTGAGGTTGAAACAGTCACATATGGAGGGAGCTGAGGATGTTGCATGTATTCTGCTGTGTACACTGTGGCAGGATTTAATCTTTCTCCAGAGGCTGCAACTGTAACACCAATTTCTTGATTCAGCTACCAGGTCAGTCGAGCAGTTCAGTTTTAACTCTACTTATGATCTTTCAAGTCCAATCATAGGCAACTTCAAAGGTTTTACCTAGTAGATCCCATGGGGAAAGATGGCCCTTCCCAGGTCCCACTGGATGCCCAGCCATGCATTTCAGTTTTATGGAGGGAGTTCCAGTGCAGGACTCAGCTCCCGGTGCCTGTGCTTGTCAGGCTTTTTTGTGCTCCTGCACAAATCCACACTCTCATCCAAGCGTCTCCATTTGAAGGCTTCCTTAAGGAGGAAGAGCGGCTCTTTCAGGAATCTTCAGAGACCTCATTGGAAGACCTGACTCTGCTTCTCTAATCCTACGCGTATCAATTTCTTTGAAGATGTGCCATTAATGCAGGGGTTCTCAACATGTGGGTCGTGACACCTTTGGGGGCACCCTTTCACAGGGGTTGCCCAATTCATAACAGTAGCAAAATTTGAAGTTATGAAGTAGCAATGAAAATAACTTTATGGTTGGGGGTCCACCACAACATGAGGAACTGTATTAAAGGGTCACGGCACTGGGAATGTTGAGAACCACTGCCTTAATGGATGTCCAACTTGAGGTCTTTTCCTTTTCCTTCTTCTTCGGTCTCCCAACAATCCCATCTATTGCTATTCAGAATGACCTGAAAGGACAGAGTAGAATCGCCACGTAGATTTTCCGAGTCTGTGAATCTTTACAGAAGCAGACTGCCACATCTTCCTTGCCTCTATCCCTTTCTGCTTACATTGAACAGAAGAGATGAAGTCGTCTACTATTAAGAAAGCTAACAGTTTTCTCATTCTTAAATAATGATATACATACATTGAAAGGTTGCGTAAAAGGATGAAAAAGGCAAGTTTTGTAAAGCACCACATTTTAAAGGTCCCAGATTATTTTGATTATTAGTGTTGTTATTCTATTATTATAATGACCATTATTTTAATATGATATAAGAAATAGAAAGCTCAGTTGTAATTATGGCTTTAGCATATGCTCTCTTTGTTAAAACATTTACCCATTCCAAGTTTTAGTGTATAAATTAGGTAAAGCGTACACCTATGTTAGGGATAACTGTAATGATTAAATAGAAATGTGAAAATGAAAATTGATAATTTTGTGTCATTTTCCTAACAACTGATACATTCATCCGCACTTCCCACATTGCTTCTTTTCTAAATGCCAAGACCTCACCTTGTTTCTGCAGAGCCCCATGCATATTGCACACACAGGATGCACCTGTATCTTTTGCATGTTCAATTCAAATTCCTTTTTAATTTATGTTTTTCAGAAATTCCTAATCTAACCTTGTTCGATTCTTTTAGTGTTAGCACTCTGTATTAGTCTAGGTACTTTGGAGAAACAAATCCACAGCAACTCATGTATAAGAGAGAGTTTTATGTAAA